CAACGGCAAAATTCCAGAAGACCTAATGGCGAAAAATGGAGAGATAAGATGGCGATCTGTTGTTACCTGTAAAAATCGACGGATTTGATCGTTGCTGGTCGAAATCATGGGCTGGCAAACAGAAATCAGAAAACAATGAGGAAAATCAGATAGGAGGAGGAAAACTGTCGACCTCAAATCCCAAACAACTAGAGCATAATAGATCTAGTGACGAGAGTGGGAAAGACTGAAGAGTGAGAAGGCGAATGAGAGCTCCCGTGCATTCGCGTTCTCTGTATCAACAGAGGAGCAGCCGTCCTTTTTATTTAATCGGATTTTCTTTTTTCCGTAAACAAATTAAAAATCGTTTCCTCGGTTTCTTTCTTTGTACGGATCGCGGTGGTGATGGTAGAGTGTGGACGAGTGCAGGTAAGAAAACTGAGGAGTAACTGCCTAGCTTGGGTGGTAGTTAGGATGGCCCACGCAGGATGAAATCGTAGCCGTCAGATAACGGTGATTGATCATAAGTCAAAGCGTAATCCTTGTTGTGAATTCCCGTTTTTGTTTGGAAGATTTCAACGCCTCCGGTGATCCTCTGCACTGCATCAACATTCTTTAAAATATTATATATATACACACATAACATATAAATAATTATGCAGACGTATCATTTTCAATGAACACGCAAGCCGTTATAATTAAATTTCCCTTAGCTCTTAATATGTTGAATCGAGAATTGGAAGGTAAATGGAGTAGTCAGGCTTTGTCCTATTTTGCATTCCTAATAAGATTTCACTTACCTCAACATATTTAGTTATCAAATCAAACTAAAATTAGTGAGATATTATCATAAGCCTAATATTTCAAATCTCAATTTATATAAGTAATGATAAAATTATAAACATAATTTTCTTAGTTTTGTTAAATTTAAATTTTATTAAAAATATAAAAAATTTGTCACTTTATATAAGTCGACGATGATTAACATATAATGATTAATTGATCGAGAATTTATTTCACTAATATATTAATAAAATTATTGTGAATTAAAATAGCCACATGTTAAATATAAGAAATAATCTTTTTCAAATTCTAAATATAATTATTTTTATTATTTTATTTTAATAATAATTTTTAAATAAAATATTAGTTATAAAATGTATTAAAAATAATTTTTAGAGGAGAAAAATAAAAATATTTTTCTTAGATAATTATTCTTCTTCAAAATATTGTTGTAATTTTATTTGATCTAACTTTATAAACGAATAAAACTTATTCGTCTATATTAAAAAATATAGTTATTAATATATTTAATGAATAAAGACATGAGCACGTAGAAAAAGTATTTGTGAAAAATAATTAAATTATTTATTAAAATTATGATAATACAATTTAATTTTGAATTTTGTTATTTATTTTAAAAGTTTTAAGTATTTTAAAAAATTATTTAAAATAATAACCACGCACATTTAAAATATCTCTCATGCTAATTAATCTATTTTAAATAATAATTAATTTATTAGTAAAATTAATATATTTTAAATAAAAAAGTTAAAACAAAGTAAAATTATAGAACTGACTTTATTCTAGAATTATCGACCCTGGTGGGCCCCATCTAAGGCTAACTCAAAAAATGGTCAGACCATGTTTTGTTGGGCCCGGCCCAATTAAATTTGTAAAACCACTAGACATTACAAGAAAATTGGTTTTATGACTTGTAATAATATTTAGATTTACTTAATAATTTATATATATATATATGTGTATATAATAATATTGCCCGATAAATTAGGTCATATTTGAAAGAACTTAATTTTTTTTATAAAATTTATTAGTACACCCTTTATATATTTCAACATTGAATTATTATTATTATTATTTAAAATTATATAATAAATTAATTTAGTTCCTGTATTTTTAAAAAAATAATACTATAATCATTACTATTATTATTATATGAACATTTTGGTTTTTCCTTCCAATATTGACAAAAATAAATATAACATTAACCCATATCCCTTATACAAAATAATTATTTTTAAAAAAATTTATTTGTTCTAAATTTACAAATTTATAAGAATTTATTTTTAATTTATATTTAATTCAAGTACAAAAATAATTAGAATTATTACTAAAATAATAAAATGTAGAATACATCAAAATCTATTTAACATCAATATTTTTTAATATTTTAATAAAAATCACACCGTCTTCTAATAAAATTGGTTAATTGTAAGTTTATAAATTGAATCTCACTGAATTTGTTAAGAACATAGCCTTCATCATTTTCACTCCCGTAGATTCCCAATATATATAATGCTTCATGACTCCTCTCCCAGCCATAAATCCTGAATATATGTATATATATATCGATACATATAAAGCTATATATATGTGTATGTATATAATGGAATGAAATAAATATGACACACTTGCACTTCTGTGATCTGTGTTTTTTCTTCGTGGAATACAATATGGTTCATGGAGAGAGAGAGAGAGAGAGAGAGAGAGAGAGAGAGTACTAGTTAACATATGTATATATGTAGATATATATATACATGGGATACAATTATATGAAGTTAATTATGATCTAACGAGATATGTAAGTATCTCTCACCATTGACAGAGGAACTAAACAAAGACCTCTTCTCTTTAACTCGTTACAATCCCCATCTTTCATGCAATCATCATTATTTCTCCTTTCTTTGTTCATCATCATCTGGTTAGAACAACTTTCTTTATCCTGTAAATTACAGAAACAAATTAAAATCAATATAATCATGTATAATATATTTGATTTTATTAATTAAGAAACTGACCTTGGGACTGTTAAGAGGAGAACTAGCAGTATCCTCCAAATCTTGATCTATAGTTTTTCTCTTCTCGAAGCTCAACCTATTATATCTATTATTATCATTATTATTATAAATACACATTTGTTCTGCAACACCCAGATCTTGTTCTTCACCAATATCAACTGTTTTGGCCGCCATTAATGAAGCTGCATCAGAGATCAAAGAAAAAGAAGAAGCTTGTTGATCATAATCTTGATCAGATTCATTGATATAATTAGCATCATGAAAGAAATCTTCAAAGTACGTAGTCCAGCTACTCTCTTCAGAAGCCAGTATTGATTTACTGATGGAATTCTCCATGTATATGGATATGATGTATATCTATATATCTTATGTAGGAGAAGAGAGGAAACAGACTGAATTAGTACATGGGTTCTTGGCCAGCTTTCTTTTGGGGATCTATATGTATATACATATATATAGTGAGGAAAAAATAATTAATTTAAAAAATAATAATAAATTGTGAAATGATATAGTATGGAATCTGGTGGGTCTGGACCATTTTGTTGAGTTGGGGAAGTAAATAATTGGAGAGAAAGAGGGAGGTGTTTGACCTTTTGTGATTAATTAAATATTATAATTAGATTTTTTTAAGAACTAAGAAGAATATTTGTAATGCCCCGTAATTAATTTTTTAAAAAAATTAAAATTAATGTATAAAATATAATTTTTAATTTTATGAATTTTTATTTAATATAAAAATTAAAAAAAAATAGGTGAATGATAAAATTGAAAATAATTTTAAGAAAAATATGTGAAAATTTGGGTATTAGGGGTATTTTTGAAAGAAAAATAAAAAACTGAGTCAAAGCGCAATTTAGTAAAAATATATCATGTAGAACCGTCCAGTCAGCAGTTGTAACAGTCCCGGTAATTCAAAATGGAAATTATATTATAAATATTAAATGCGGAAGCGAGATCAAAATTTCAGTTAACATCCCTTACACGAAAACCAAAAACGTACTTAAAATATAAAAGATTAAACTAACTAAAAGAGAAACTCGAAAATAAAGCTATGAGTATGACTACAGAGTCTCTAGGCATCCCCTTCGTCGTCCTCCTGCGGAACGGGCTCGGAAACCATGTCTTCCTGATCTGAAATGGTTAAATAAGGAGTGAGCTACACTAGCCCAGTAAGAACATCACGATATCTCACCGTCACGGAGGTAAAGGTGGGTAGAAAAAACACAAAAGGCCAATGGAGCATGATTTACAACAAATCCTTTTATTTATGATAAAACCTTTACCATCCACTTACCTCGGTGGA